TGGGAAGCCCCAGGATCATGGGCTTGGTGTCCACCTGCGCGTGAGCTTGCCCGTCTTTCAGAGTCAATAAAAACAATAAGGTCAGTAGATTATCTGTGAGCTTCAGGGAGGAACTCCCGATGACTGAATCCTTATGACTACCTAGATCATCGACACCTCATTACTGATAGAGATCACTCTCGAACCATTAACGTCGTTTATAGTCACTCGTACGTGAACGAGCTATCTGTAGTTACAAACAAAAGGGAAATTTCAAACATCTGTTTTTAGTGAAGGCATCATTTAACAACACATTTAATACGCAAATAATTTAGCCGATGCGATTGTCGGTCAGATAACTTCTGTTTGGTTTTTTCTTTGTATAATTTCCTGCTGAGCTGTATTCACGCTTGCGACAGCTGTTAAGTCTTTAGTTAACGTTTACATAAATAAAATAACTTCATTGTAGTTGTTTATCTCAGTTCTGTTTCTAAATCACGTTGATTTCCTCGTACTTTCGTACAGTTATCTCATTCACTAGTTCTAACTTCTGAGCCGTAAGTATTATGATACCCAGACCTGACGTGTGTTTGTAAAAAAAAAGGCCTAACCCACGTGAAAAGAATACCATGCAAGGATTGAATTACATCTGCCGAGAATGGGGCTGTTTTGGTAGTAATTTTACTCAAGTAGAATTATATAATACAGGTAGATTAAACACATTGTATAACGTAGAAGTTAAGATTAAGAAAAACAAAGCAAGTCGTGTTAGACAATTTTATTCTAATATTTAGTGTAAAGATCTAAACATTAAATTTGTAAATATGTACGTACGTTTACCAATTCACCTAATTGCCAGGAATGCAAACATGCAATGAACTGATGTATTTAGGCTGTACTGGAACAAAATTGGTTTATCTATGAGACGTCAGACGATGCAGAAAGTAATGGACTAAGATTAACTTGTACAGTTGTCATTACAGAATATCACAAAGCTGTACAGTTGTCATTACAGAATATCACAAAGCTGTACAGTTGTCATTGCAGAATATCACAAAGCTGTACAGTTGTCATTACAGAATATCACAAAGCTGTACAGTTGTCATTACAGAATATCACAAAGCTGTACAGTTGTCATTACAGAATATCACAAAGCTGTACAGTTGTCATTGCAGAATATATCAAAGCTGTACAGTTGTCATTACAAAATATTACAAAGTTCTACATTTGTCATTACAGAATTTCTCAAAGCTCTACACTTGTCATTACAAAATATCACAAAGTTGTACATTTGTCATTACAGAATATTACAAAGTTCTACAGTTGTCATTACAGAATTTCTCAAAGCTCTACACTTGTCATTACAAAATATCACAAAGTTGTACTGTTGTCGTTGCAGAACATCTCAAAGCTGTACAGTTGTCATTACAAAATATCACAAAGCTGTATAGTTGTCATTACAAAATATCTCAAAACTGTACACTTATCATTACAGAATATCACAAAGCTCTACAGTTGTCATTACAGAATATCTCAAAGATATACACTTGTTATTGCAGAATCTCACAAATCTATATATTTTCTTCGTGTATGAGATCGTTGAACTGAACGTTTTGGCTGATTATGGATGGTCAGATCACCTTCTTTTACCTGATGACTAACAAACGTAGAAATAATGGCAGTAGTACATTCTACCTGCTTGCTACTAGAAGACACCGACAATCCTAATTGAAGACTTCCTTCCTAGTAATTGCTTTTGCTTGTGCTGCACTGTAATTTGTCGTGAAGACCCGGGTCTTTGGGAGGTCAAACCGTGAGCCATGAGAAAGCGTCTTTCGCTGTCGTCCCTGATTTGGATTTCGACCCAGTAGACTGACCTATCAAAATGTCGATTGTTCCGTGGGTCAAGACTAAAAGCAGGATCACTCCACTTAGCGGTAAAATTGCCAGTTAAGGAAGGTTCGCCTCATTTATCTCAAGATATAAGAACTGGTGATGCGTTGACATGGAAATGACGTTGTGTTCTACTGTGGTTGAAATATTTTCATGTTGCTAGGTGTTATACGATATTATATCGACTTATGTTTTAAGTATAGTGATATGAAGCATGTTATAAATATTTGTCGTTTAAGAAATAAAAAAAAATATATAAAAAGATATAATATGTCGTGAAATAAATTGATTAACTTTCGACGTCAAGGTCGAAGGTCAATACCAGATCAAAAGCCATCGACAATGTAAAAACGCAATTTTGTATATGATGACTGTTGTTGATAAATATAAACAAATATGGAAAAGAAGCTTTGTTGCCTACGTATGGTAACTTTGTATGGAATTGCTACTGACATCTGATTCGCTGTATTAACATATAACTGTACTGAATTACAAATATTTTGTTTTCCTTCTCCACATATATCTAATATTTTATGGTGAATTATATGCAAAAAAAGTTTTATTTTTCAAAGAGTTTTTTTTTGCAACGCTTTAATGCGATGTATATACACATTAATTTACTCTGACGACTTGAATTATCGTAAAAATGTTAGGGTGGAAAACTCAAAGACCGAAAAACACGACCAAACGAGTTTTGGATCTTTCAAGGCGACTAGAAACCGAAATCAAATTGTTTTCGGGTCCTGATTGTCGATTTCACAGCGACCACAACCCGTTTGGCAGTTTACTCAAGGACCACAACCCGTTTGGCTGCGTATTTAAGGAACACAACCCGTTTTTGTGTATTCAAGGCCCACAAACGGAAGCAGTACATAATATAATATAATTTCGGATTTTGCTGCTTAATTATAACCACAATACTTTCCAGCAATTCCATGACTGCTACAACGCGTTGCGATGAGGTCTATAGTAAAGCACACAACGCAAATCAAAGATATGCGTATTTTGAAAGTGATATAATGCCATGTATACATCTAAAAATATATTGAGCGTCAGTATTTATAGGTTAGGGAAACATTAATACTATATCGGAACCCTGTACATATGCGGTGCCAAAGGTTGTAAAAATGGTATAAAATACCAACGGCCTGAATGAAACAACAATCATAAATGTCGCTAACAGTAACAAAGGTAGAGAGCGTATTACTATGCCCTAATTAATGACGTTCATTATTATAAACTACGTATTGTTAAAGCATTACTAAAGTGATCATCTCTGTCAATATGATTATCACGGGTCTTGTGTAATTTTATATGGCTTTTCATCTAAGATTTTAGGTTTGGGGCGTTGTGATTAAACTGAAACAGCCACAAGCTAAAATTTTATTTTACTATTACTTCGGTTGTTGTGAGAATATGCAATGTGCCCAAAGCAGGTATCGAAACCCAATTTTGAGCGTTGTAAATCCATAATACTACCGCTGAGCCACCAGGAGATTTTCATATCGGTTTCTGTGCGCTTTAAAAGACAGCCGTGCCTTTGCTTTCTGTGAGCGACTTCGGCCCTTGATCTCAACAAACTATTATAATGTAATCTCTAAACGCGACCTTTGCATAGAACTAATTACTGTGCAAAGATTCGAAACTCAGCTATAAAATAAAACATTGTTCACTTTTCTATGCATTAGTAAATCACTTTACTAACTTCATGCTGAACTAATCTGAATCAACAGACGCATTTGGCAACAGTAGCTCTACTGTTAGTCAATATAAGAACAGCAACAAGGATACACTGTTAGTAAAATTATTAATCAAGGTAAGAACAGAAACGAGTAGCCAATGTTAGACACATTCTTGGATAAGGTAGGGGACAGAAACGAGTAGCCAATGTTAGACACATTCTTGGATAAGGTAGGGGACAGAAACGAGTAGCCATTGTTAGACACATTCTTAGATAAGGTAGAGGACAGAAACGAGTAGCCAATGTTAGACACATTCTTGGATAAGGTAGGGGACAGAAACGAGTAGCCATTGTTGGACACATTCTTGGATAAGGTAGGGGACAGAAACGAGTAGCCATTGTTAGACACATTCTTAAATAAGGTAGGGGACAGAAACGAGTAGCCATTGTTAGACACATTCTTAGATAAGGTAGGGGACAGAAACGAGTAGCCAATATTAGACACATTCTTGGATAAGGTAGGGGACAGAAACGAGTAGCCATTGTTAGACACATTTTTAGGCAAGATAAGGGACAGCAACGAATAGCTGATATTAAATTAAACTGTTAGAGCATCAGGTAGCCAATGTAACATACATGGGTTGTTACTATAATCGAATACATAATCGGTATGTGAAATGCTGAATGCAGACAGCTTCAAACGAAGAAGCTTATTTCCGTAGATAGTAATAACAGTAATTTAAAAAGCAGTAAATACCAGTGCTATTGGCATACCGTTAATTGTCGATAAGGAACGTTAACTCACTTTTAAGATACCGTTTCTCTCTGACATACACGTCTTATTAATGATGCTCAGAATGTATTGTCGTCGTCCTCTTCATCCGCAAAGTGAAGACAAACTGGGGTGCTGGGAATTTATGTTCTTAATAATGAGATATACGTTCTTGGTTAGGAAGATAAAAAATACCTACTACGCATGCCCGAGAGTTTTCTTAAAATAGTAACAATAATAAAACCAATACGTACTGTAAAAGATTGCAGACTTTTGAGTTTTTTAACTTCTGAGTATTATATAGTATTCAGATAACCAGTATTTAGCTTACAGGTGCAAATTTCAAAACCTTAACAAGGGTGTAGTAAAATATAATCAGTTAACCGCAATTCACTTTAGACGCCTCCCCCCACAGTGACACAGCGGTATGTCTGCGGACTTACAATGATAGAAACCAGGTTTCGATACCCGTGGTGGGCACAGCACAGATAGCCTATGGTGTATTTTGTAGCTTTGTGCATTACTTCAAACACAAAAACACTTAAGTATGTAGAAGTAAATATAAAGACTATCGTTTCGCGTTTAATGTTATAATATCCTATATTTTCTTGAAATAACTACATGGAACGGTTATATAAAAAAATAAAGTAATGAAGTTCCAATTTCTTTTTACAGGTGAAGACGGTCAGGATAACGAAAGAAACACGAATTGTTCTTTTAGAAGTAAGAAACAGAGAAAAGCTAGAACAGCTTTCACTGATCATCAACTACAGACCTTAGAGAAGTGTTTTGAACGACAAAAATACCTGAGTGTCCAAGAACGGATGGAACTAGCTTCAAAGTTAAACCTAACAGACACGCAAGTCAAGACTTGGTACCAGAACAGAAGGTGGGTAATGATGGTGTTGATTGTATTATTATAAGTCTGTTATTACTACAGAACAGATGGTGGGTAATGGTTGTGTTGATTGTATTGTTATCAGTCTGTTATTACTACAGAACAGACGGTGGGTAATGATGGTGTTTATTGTATTGTTGTCAGTCTGTTATTACTACGGAATAGAAGGTGGGTAATGATGGTGTTGATTGTATTGTTATCAGTCTGTTATTACTACGGAATAGAAGGTGGGTAATGATGGTGTTGATTGTATTGTTATCAGTCTGTTATTACTACGGAATAGAAGGTGGGTAATGATGGTGTTGATTGTATTGTTATCAGTCTGTTATTACTACGGAATAGAAGGTGGGTAATGATGGTGTTGATTGTATTGTTGTCAGTCTGTTATTACTACAGAAAAGAAAGTGGGTAATGGTGGTGTTGATTGTATCGTTGTCAGTCTGTTATTACTACAGAATAGAAGGTGGGTAATAATGGTGTTG